CTCTCTCTCTCTCTCTCTCTCTCTCTCTCTCTCTCTCTCTCTCTCTCTCTCACACACACACACACACACATTCTCTCTCCGTTTGTCCCTCCCTCCCCCTGTATCCCTCCCCCTCTCTCCCCTCCCTCTTTTATCTCTCCCCCTCCCATCCCCTCTCTCTCTCTCGCTCTCTCTATTTTCTTTATCACTATATACATTTTCTTCATTATTTTTTTAAGAAGAAATTCGATAGGACGGTAGCATTATTGCCCATGAAAGGCCCCGCAGACGTTCTAATAATACGTCGCGGCACGTACGTCATGTAATACATATATATATACAGTTACAATATGTAATAATGATAATAATAATATAAGAAGAAGAAGTGCTTATCTAGAGCGCACATCCACACTCTAAAGCATGCTCTATGCGCTTTACAACTATAGTTACCTCAGCAGATCCTAGATCACTAGGATACATTTTCAGCTTCCCGGGTAGCATACGATGCAAACGACCGATTATTCTAACACTAACAAACTGACTACATAAGATACGTGATCTGGGGTTGATTGAGAAGGGTAAAAAGAACACAAACAAAGACATATTATGGTAAAAGTTCACTTGAGCCCCCCCCCTCCCCTACCATCGTTAAACCGAGTTAAAATCGTCTTTCGCGCATGCTGTGTGGGCGATCCCCCAAAGAGAATGGAGACACTAGGTGACAGTGCGTAGTAGGTTAAATTGCCTCCAAGAGAATGGAAGGTGTAGTAAAAATTTACCAAAAATATCCCACCCTGTTACCCATAAGAAGTAGGCCCCTAAGGCCTAATGCGGTAAACTATAAAATCATTTTAAAAAGAAGAGATCCTGTGCAATTTTTTCAGCCACGATTGGTCTAAACATGCAAACAGCAATAACGTTGCGGGTATTATATTTTAATTTTTACTCGCCGCCGTAACAACGGGACTGTTATAGTTGCGTTGCCTCAGTACACTTCGAGGTTCATCGAAAAAAAAAAAAAAGTTGAGAAAAGAAAATGAGAAAATACGAGGAATCTTTTTTCAAGTCACTCACCCCAGGACTGCAGACGTAGAGGCTAACCAAAATGTCAACCATGAATTTACACACAACTCTTTCCTCCCTTTATTTTAAACTCTGAGTTATTAGCCTTTATCGTCGATAAACCGGCGAGCTAAAATTTCTGCGGGCGCTAACTTTAAAGTTCAAACTGCCAAACCAATTTCAAACTGATCTTCCGGCAACGTCTAGGGGCTAAATTTATTAATGAGCCTTTACTCCACTCACGACTTTTGGAACGCAAGAGCTTCTGTTGTGCCCGAAGGGACGCAAACTTCAGGTCTTTTTTTTTTGGGGGGGGGGGGTTGTTTTTGTAAAGCTCTGCACCGTTTGACAAAGTGTGTGTGTGTTAGCATCGAATCTGTGCCCACACCAGCAACAATTAACACAACTTCAAAGAAAATAAGTAGGCTACAGATGAATGTCTCGAGGATTTTATCACTGCCGCTGGTAAAAACGCTTGAACCAGCCTCTGTTATGTTGCGATAAATCTCTTTGTTTCCACACGCAGAAGATGCGTTCGATCCCCAAGTGGGGGCTGGGATGCAGCCTGCCTTCTAATAGATCTAAATTGTGTCAATACGGTGGTAAAACAAAATATAAGTTTACTTAGACGAATGAGTCATTTATCTAACAATAAGTCGAGGCATATATCATTTATTCCATATTATATAAAGTGCTGCCCTGATTTCAGGTGACAGCAGGCTTGTTAGTGTGTTACGTTGCCTGCTCAATATTGAGCATTTTTGGCAAGTGTTTTACGTCGCTCGCAACTGCATCAGGTCATATGAGCGCGCGGGACACATTAAACATATTTTGAATCATCAGCAACATCAAAATCGTCGGAAAAAGACAAACACAAACAAAAGCTCAAAACAACACCCCCCCCCCCCCCCCAAAAAAAAAAGACCCCAGTAAAAACTTCATCTTTTGTTTTGTTTGTTTTTGTAAAGTGTTTAACGGCGCTCGCAACTGCATAAGGTCATATGAGCGCAGAGGAGGGGGCAAAGGAGGTGAGGGAGTGGGGGCAGAAAGTGGAAATGAAAGCAGACAACAGAACATTGCTAAAGGAGAGGAAAAGAGGTGAAAGGAGACAATTTTAGAGAAGAAAATTTTTAGGTCGCTACCCGG